GTATATGAAAACAAGGGCCTGACTGCGGAGACGAAGGGGTCGAGGAGCTCGCTAGCACTGTGAGAGCCCCCCTTGCGGGTAAAATGCTAATTGGTATCACAATTAAGCTACCGCCCACCACACCATGCGAAACAGGTGTTCCACGTTTAAAGTACCGGTACCGCGACAGGCCATGACAAGGGTGAAGTTTCTAAACTACAGTACTCGAGTACTCGAGTATATCCTCCCCCACGCGGCAATCTAGCCGTTACAGAGACAATCACCATCCGGGACTCTAAACGCATCCATACCGTGATGCGCTTGAAAAAAGCAAGAACTACTCTAAACATGCCCAAGAGGGGCTCCAACTGGGATTTTTGGCGCAACAACCCACCCAACTCAACTCATAGAACTTTTTCAGCAAGAAACCAATCACAGAAGGTTTTCTGACTAACTTATCGTGTAAAAAATTCAAAAGAGTAAAAACCGACTACATTTTACCCCCTTTTCTCCCCTTTCTTTTCTCTTCTTTTCCCCTCTTCTTGGCAAGATGGTGTCTAAGGTTATCCCACACTTTATATTTTTGTGTTTTTCCCCAGCAATTCTCACTTGCTGCAGAGTTGTGATTGTGATACCTTGCTGATGCCCTTGGTGGAGGGGAGGTCGCACCGGCGGGACCAGAAACTCCATCCCCATCGGAGTAGGTTACACTCCCGTCTCCAAAGTTCTCGTAACGTCTGATGTACCGCCAAGTCTCCGCAGTCTCCCACCGCGAAATCGCCGAAGCCATTTCCTAGCAAAAAAGGTAACACCTCTAAGGAATTTGCCGTGACCGTATTGAAAAAAGAGAAGTATCTCTCGAGGAAGAGTCGTCGCCGTCTTGCTATCCAGGGCAGGAGTTGATGTGGCATCTGAGGTGTTACGGGAACTTTGCAGACGCCAGTGTGTATCATTGTACTAGTACGGTAATTCAAACGTATACATACCCCCGGTCTTTACGATAGCCAGAAATAATATCTATCAATATGCTTAATATAACTACGACAGGGGGCGTTGGCGGGGGCACGGCTATTACGGTTTGACGAAGCGATTTCCTATCGAATCGGGCTTTCGAATCAGAAAGCGATTGGCCCTCCAAAAGAAGATTCCGATCTCAAAATATAACATGCTAAGCCTCCGGTTCAGAAACTTATAGGTACGATATGACACCATTACAGCCTACGATACCGGGGTCGTCCTAACGGCAGTTAGGGCCCCAGGAAAACTTTAGGTTGACGCTCGGCAGACATGTACTCGAGTATATCCCCCATACGAGTAGTATCATTATGAAGGACGTATCATGGCTAGAAATACAACAACGAGAAGTTCTCTTCCTCCCTCTCCCACCTCTCTGCTTACAGATTACAGGGTTTGGCAAGCAATTCTAAACTACCAAAACTCGAGATGAGATGACCATCGCGGTAGCCCCCTAAGTTACCATAGCTCCGAACCATCGCTCCGCACTTATCTATGCGTTGAACCCTTAGCCTCACAGTACCGCGCTATACTGTGCTGTACCCGTACTACGCCTAGAACGGGTCATGTCAAAATACGGGCATATTCCATTAATTAACTTTCTTTACAAGTGCCAGGGGAGACGTTTTCGTACAAGTAAGTACAACACAGGGATTATTTTGCGGGTTAACCTAAATTAACCGTGCAAAAACATTATCCCTGGCACTTGTACTCTCCTAGTTTAATATTCTCTTTCGGGATTGAGCGGATAATATTTCATATTTCAGGCCAGTTCAGAATCTCTGTCCATAAATAGAGGAGATTTCCTTGGTTTTGGGGTTCCTTGGCAGAAGCTTGAAACACAAACTTAAAGCAACTGGTATTGCCCTCTCCAAAGTCACGCCCCTATTGGGACAGTAGATCGAAAGACACCTTTTGACAGATCATAGATTGCTTGACAACTTGGGAGCCAAACACCCAATTGTGGGAGACTCTCCTCTTTACACCCGTATAGTACCATTGGACAGGGATAGACTCATGGTGTATTACGTTAACATCGGTAATCATGTCATATGGTTTGTTTGCTATGAATTCTATGAGATTCCTCAGTCAGTCCCTGTATTTACAAGCTTAGGGTTCATTCCATGGTCAAACAGGAGACAAGGCGGCGGGAGGCAGGGGTGGTCAAGAGCAGAAGAAAACTGGGCGCGGCCCCCCTTCCGATACGAATTCTCCACTTTCTTTTCCCTACCGTATCATCTTTGGGCACGAATCTGCAAGGCGGAGATCCTTCCAAGAACCGGATCATCCGTCCCCGTGTTGTGATTCCCTCTTTCCCCCCAAAACGTGGTTACCATTGGGGTACCTCTGCGTTCTTTCTTTGGGTTTGGCTAAGTCTCCGGTGTACTCGAGTACTGGTGGTGACATAGGAAAATTCCTCCCGCCAAAATCTACAAAACGCCAGGGCCAAAAGTGGTCGGACAGTACGCTGGGCATAGGAGTTGATGCTCATAAGCGAAGCGATCATCCTCTCTCCAAACAATCGTCATACTTTTAAGAACGTTGTTCACCCGTTACACTTCTTCAGGTCATTTATCGTTCCTGCCACTCCATCCTTCTACCTGAGCATGCGGAAGCTAGAACGGACGCTACAAGTTATTCTTCACCATATGGTACTAGTAGAGGTACCATAACAATTCTTGCGATCCGCTGTCTCCGGAAGGCCCCCAATCTCCGGTTTCAGAGGCGGGAGCTATCGAGAATGATTTGTGCTCCCCAGGCATGCATAGCCTAAGCACTCTAGACATATCGGATCTCACTACCAAGTTGTTGCAATTCCGTTAACTTGCCAAACAAAGCCCATTATGAGGCCCGTGCGGCGAATGGAAATGATAACTATTATATCTAGTTGGGTTTTTAGAGAATAAACACGAGCATCTGCTCCAATATCGTAGGGATTCTTGCCACTCGTTGGGGGATTATCATCCCACCGTCCAGCCAGGTAAGCGCATCGGAAGTTTCCAGAGCTCAAGGAGTGCGTGAGGTTGTCGATACGGGCTTTTGCCGAGTCCGTTTCGTATTTAGCGGAAACTCTACCGATCCGATTGGTCTGGAACAGCTTTCACCCCACACCCAAAGTCATTTCCAAAACAAGAGCGACGGCCCCACTCAGGAGGGAAAGTAGGAAGCTGGAAGCCGAATCCCCGGCCAAACATCTGAGAGAGAGAAGGAGCCAACTTCACGGTAGGAAGTTCGCGTTGTTGGGTATTCACTGCTTTCCCTCCCCGGTGTTGCATCGGAAACCTTCCGGTTATGCTCGGGGGCGCTGTCACTCTAAAGTCTCCATTAGTGTTTGTTGGTTGATCGCTCAAAAAGACGATCCCTAAATTAAGCTACTCCCCCAGGCCCACCCTCAGCCTCGATCATCAAAGTACCGCAAAATCTTGTGAAACCAACTCTCAGACTATCGGCGGGAGCCAACCCGTCAGCCCAGGATAGGTCTAGTTTGACAGGTTTACAGAATGGTGAGTGCCAGTCAATGAGATCCATCAGATCCTGGATGCAGAGAATGCAGGGCAATGACAGTTGATTTCTAAGAGATCCAACTCTTACGGCGTATACAGAAAGCCAATTGGGAAGAAGAAAGAGGTCTTGAGACAAAACAAAAGAGATATGCCCAACGTCTCACAAGGGGAGGCAATCACTAGATCCTATCATAGCACCATCATCTTCGGATTAGAGTTTTAACTGCATGATACAAGCACTGTAGCCCTGTTGCCTAGTGAAAGTCTTGGTTAGAAAATTGCACGGCCCCCACACCTCAAAATTAAAGCCCTGTTTGGCGAGCGACCATATAAAAAATGCATTACTGGTAGCTAGCTTTAAGACATGTATCATGGCTTGTACTCATATCACTACCTTCTACGACAACCCTACCCTTCAAAACCAATCTAACCTGAAAAACTCAACATTAAAAATATGATGCTCCATATAAAAAAAATGCCATCTTAATGTGAGTACAGTATCAAACACACCTCCATTCATTTGTGTGGAGAAAAGGTGCTGTAACAGTGGGAGAAATGACTTTTTTTGACATGTCAAATAGGGCCTAAGCTTCACCCCAACTAGTAGCGGATTGACGTTCGTGACCCCAACCGCTTGTGCATTCAATCGTAGTTGTGCCCGCAAACGTCACCCATTACGAGTGCTCGCGCACCGGCCGGGCCTTGGCAGCTCCGGTGCCGAAGTGCCCCTGACGACCAATACGGCGCCTGTACCACCACCGCAAACGAGCTCTGATCCGGGCGGACAGAAACAGGCGAAACATGGAACATCACTCGGCAATCCACATCCTGGGCGTGCTGCGGAACCGCCGAAATGTCGATTTGATTCCGGTAATTATGCGTATCGGGATGAGGCTGCTCTTCACTGTAAAATGCGGTCAGCGTGAGGGCGGTGCTGCGACCGATTGAGAGGGCGCAAACCAACCGTTTTTCACCGCAGCAGAGTGCCGACTCAACCACGATCACTTCCCCCTCCTTCCAGGCGCCAGAGGGAAAGCAAATTACATAGCGCGGACGGGCGCTCATTGGGGAGTGCCGGTACTAATACTCACACAGGTTCTTTTTTTTGTGGACCTCGCGTTGTGATATGCGTTGGAGTCCCAACATCCAGGGATGAGCAGGAGTGGTCTACCCCCATACGCATCTCCCTTCTCCCCCTCCTCCTCCTTCTTCTACAATCTTCGGGACATGCTGTGCGTTATTCTTAGTATGATAAAGTGCCGATCCTCCCTCACCCCACCCTCACCCCGCTCTTGCCCCCTCGAGTGCAACCCGATTCTGTGCTTTTCATAGCCTTATCCATTTCTCCCTTCCCTTCCCTTTCTTCTTCCTCCTTCCTCCCCTCCTTCTTCCTTCCTTCCAATCCCATACTCCTTCATCAGACGGAGCTCGCAGTACCGGACCTACTCCTTTGGTATTGTAGAGATAAAGAAGAGGAAAAATAAAGAAGCCGCTTCCCCAGCGATGAGGGATAACCGCTGGAACACCACTGCCTTCCTACTCCTGCGCATATCACAGCTCCTACTAGGAGTGATTGCGCTAGGAATATCCGCTTATTTCGAATCTAGATACGAAAGCCAAAAGTATCCCCCCCCTTCCACCCCCACACCAAGCCAGACAATATTTAACCGGAAAAATAGCTTCATAATCCTCATCCTCGCACTCGGCATCCTCACCCTAGTCTGGGTGATTGTAGCCCTAACTCTCTTCTTCACGAACAAACTCCACCCACTAGCCGCGATAATCGTGGATGTAATACTAGCAATATGTTATATCGCCTCGATCGCCACGGTCGCGAGCACCTACCCCGGCGTCATCGGTAATTCCTGCAAGGCCTACGCCCCCTCGCGGGACGGAATGGACGATATGGTGATCAAGGATTGCGCAATGCTGAATGGCGGATTCGCAATTCTAGTCACAAAGTTGCTGATGTTGTTCGGGGCGATCATCTAGGATAGCAAAGTTTTACGCCAGAATCGCAATGGGAAGCGTGGGGATGCTCGTGCCGTTGTTCGGAATGCTATGCATTGCGGTGGTGTTGGTGGCGGGCAGATGGCTCTAATAGGGGGAGCGTATGAGTTGCTGGGACCTACAATGGACCCGGAAAACGGCAGCCGCGGTTCAGGTGGAAACCAAGGAGCACAGACCTTTATGTCACAGTATCATCCAAGGAATTCCCCGATTTATCCGGCTCAGGTCGCATCGCCAGCCACTCTGCATAATCCTTATGTTCCACCGCCCTCCCTTCTGGCCATGCCGCAACAGGCCCTCATGATGCAGCATCCTCAACATCAGAACCACCGGAACCACCACCGCCACCAGCTCCACCACCTCCACCACCTCCAGCAACAGCAGCAACGCCAACACCAACTACAGTCTCAGCACCAGCACCAGCATCAACAGTATCAGCAGAACCGAGAATCGCCGCCGCAGGAGTTAGGTGGAACGTACTAGTGGATCCCCCTTGTGTTAAGATTTCATGACTTTGTTCACGCAGGGGATTGGGTTTGGTTGTGTTCTTCATGTATGTTACCTTCACGGTTTAAGTTTCTAACATGCGCAAGCATTCTGTTTCCGAGATACCCAATAATGTGGTCACCATCTGCTTGCATGCTTGTGTTGGATAGTTAGGAGTTCACCGAGTTTTTTTTGTTGCCGAGTGAGAGGTTGTGCCCTCGTGAAGCACTCGAACTAGCTTAGCCCGAAAATTATCACAAAAGTTCGCATGGGGGACACAAGTACGTACTAATTACTTGGTCTAAAATTTCCCCATCTAGAGAATGAGCGAAAGGCGCACCAAAAACCTGCTTTCCGAGACAAATAGTAAAAAGAAGGGAAACACTAGACCATACCAAAAGAGGCAACAGCAACTACCAAACCCGAGGTCTGTTTATTGGCGTTCCTACGGTATTGTATGGTGCCTCACCGCACCACCTGACAGGGTTCACCCGCCGTTGTCAATAGCACGTTGAGATAAAGTGGGGGCTGAAGTTAAAAAAAGACTCAATACAGTCAGGAAGAGCCCAAAACAGTCCGTGATTTTGGCTACAAAGGGTTAAGCGAAGGCGTCTTTCCACGAATCTGGGATACTCGAGTAGATCACGACGAAAACGCTTATTCCAACGTCCTAGAGGTGGGCGAATCTAGCCCGATAATGCGGTGCGGTATTAGGGTACGGGGGTTATATTGATAGGATCGACAGGGGTTTTGAGTCGGGGCCCTCGATACCGCCAGAGGTAGAAAATAAAGAAATACATAAAACAAAAGTGCGAATTGGTCGGGTAATTTACTTGTATCATACCGGTAGGAGTGATGTCGGGAAGGGTGCTATGAGAATTCTTGGCATATTGAACCCTGACTATCCCGTCACTTACTTACCTCCATACCCAAGTACGGGTGCCCGGGTAGCCACAGATTCCCCAGGATATAATACATTTTGCGAACCCCCGATTGATTTGATTTTTTTCCCTTCTCCACTCATAGTCATTCGATATCACTCGAATCACCAATTTGGTCCAGTTTGTGTATTCGTAATTGGTGCTTCTCTTTTTTCGAAGTGCGCCCCGCTATCCTCGACTGTGGAGGACCCGATACCCCGCCGAGCCGTTCAAAATCTCTGACGCTTCTGAACTCTTACTGACTTCACCGGTTGAACTGGTGAAGGCCGTGACCGGATTCGTACGGCACCCCTGGAAATATCCCCCCGGCCCCTGCAGAAAGTCCGTCTGCTGGACCGGGTGCTAGAAGAACTGTCAGAGAGACTGCATCAGGAGAGGGGGAAATGCTGGGTTAGGGACAAGGAATGTGGGAGGAGTAGGAGTTTGTCCTAAGATGAACTCTAGCTTTAAACTTCTTGCCATTACCTATAGATCTGGGTCTAATTACCTATCGCCATTCGCGGGACAGAAAAATCTCAGGAGGAAACGATTCACTAACTCTTCCAGCTCCAGAACTCCACTAACGGCCTACCTAATGCAGGAGAGCAACTTTATCCTATAGAAGGGAGCAGCAGGGGTGAAGGAAAGGAGAGATGACGCGGAAGAGGGAGAGGTGAAAGAGTACCCCAGAGTTGGGGTTGAGCTAGGGCATTTGGGGGGAGCATATTGATGCTCCTAGTTGGGAAGAGGAGGAAGAACTTGCCAAGCCACATGTGCACTACACACATTAAATAGACGACAAAGGGTGTTAACACCACGGACATTTGTTAAACCAAAGACCCCATAAGAAGAACTGGAAAAAGCGTCCATTTTTCTTCAAATAACCGGAACTTTCGCGCCGTTCTCCAAGATACCCGTCGCGCCGATAAAATCCTGCGATCCGAGATAGTGGGCTGCGACTGATGCGTATCGTATCGGAGTCGAGCCGCACACCCACCCTCCACGAAATCCAGCGCAGCTGTAGGCGAACCGACTATTGTAGCCATCGTCCGACCGCCTGGCCCAGCAAGTACCGGTACTCGTGCCATCGACAAAATTCAAGAAGCGTGGGGGACCATTAATGGATATCAAAGTCTGTCTGTCTCTTAAAATAGATGACGCGTAACTTACTTTGATCCTCTCTTCTCCCAGCCAACATTCAGCCTCAACCATGCAGCAGTATCACTGCCCAGTGAGAATTCCTCCCAGAAAATTCACAGCCCCCGGGCTCACATCCACACCCCGCAATTAAACCTTACTCGCACACACCCCAAACCCCGTCCCAGTACCGTGGTGCCATAATCCAGTGCGGGCGGTCAGTATTCCTAGCGAGGAAAAAACAAGCTCCGACCGGGGACAAACAGAAATAGCGCTAACACAGAATATCACTCGGCAAGGCACTTCCTACGCACCCTGTGGAATTTCCCGAAATGTCTATTTGGCTTCGGCTACACACCAGGACGAGGCTTTAACTTAATGTATCGCACAATACAGCGAGTGCGAGTATGGCACTGTCATTGATTGAGATGGTTCAAACCACACTTCCACCGGTGCTCGTAGTGGTCTGGTTTTTTTTCTACTGAACCTCGCGTTATGATATCTGCGGGGCTCCCAACATTCAGGGCTGACCAGCATTATTCCACTCTCGCACTTATCCTTTCTCCTCCTATCATCCTCGGGATATGCCATAAGCTTTTCCCAGCACGACAACGCGCCGATCCCACTCCCCCGCCCCACAGCGACCCGATTCCAGTTTTTCGTAGCCTGCTCTATTTTTCCTTTTCTTCTCCAGCATCCCTGTACCCCAACTTATAACCTTCATTTCCTTTGTTCTCCCCCGTCTCTTCCTTCCACCCTCCCATCCCATGCTCCTTTATCAGAGGAAACTCGCAGCACTGAAACGAATCCTTCGGTATCACTGAAAGAGAAGGAGAAAAAAGGAGCCCCTTCTCCAATAATGAAGGATAGCCGCTGGAACACCGTTGCCTTTCTACTCCTGCGTATATCACAGCTCGTGCTGGGGGTTATTGTGTTAGGAATCGCTGCCTATTTCGTATCTATATACGACGAATGGTATCCCCTTCGACCTGCCACCCCACCAAAGAGAACAATATCTAACTGGAAAAATAGGTTCATACCCTTCACCATCGTAGTCAGCGCCTTCACCCTAGCTTGGGTGGGGGTAGGCTTAAGTCTCTTCTTCACGAACAACCTATTCCCACTAGTCGTGATAATGGTGGACGTGGTCCTAGCAGTATCCTACATCGTCTCGATCGCCGCACTCGCAGGCGAATACTCCAGCGCAATCGGCAGCCCCTGTATCGTCTATGACCCCTATAAATCGAGCCCGGACGAATTTGTGTCCCGGCATTGCACTACGCTGAATGGCGGATTTGGCATTCTGATCCTGGAGATGTTGACATTTCTGGGAGCGATTATCTGGGACGGCATAGTACTGTACCAGAATCGGAACGGAAAACGTGAGGGCTTTCCAGTCCCCGCGCGGGGTGCCGTCAATGAGGACGATGCTATTGGTGAGCAGATAGGGGAGATCAGAGGAGCGCATGGGATGTGGGAACCTATGGCGGACCCACCAGCCGGAGCTGGTGGCGCTGGTGGGAATCACGGAGAACAACCCGTTCTGTCATACTACCAGCCGACGGGCCCCCAGATTTATCCGGCTCAGACCGCACCGCCAACTGCTCCATACAACCCGAGCACGTCACACCCCTTGGCGCCGAGGGTGCTACAGCAGGACGCCATGATGTATCACCAACCCCATGACCAGCGGCAGCAGCAGCAGATTGATCAGGTTCACCAGATACAAGGGCAGCAGGACCAATACCAACGACAGTCCCAGCATCAGCAGTATCCGCAGAATCGAGGACCGCTGCCGCATGAGTTAGGTGGAACGTATTAATGGAATTTCGTTTGTTGTGATGTCATGGCTTCGTTCGTGAAATGGATTGGGTTTGGTTGGGCCCGCTATGCATGCTATTTTCACCCATCAAGTCCTTAACCTAGGCGACCATTTTGTCTCCCATAATCATGATAATGTTTCTGGGGGTTCCCCGCTTGTTCGCTTAATTATCAGGCTTTTTCCGCGAATTACCACCGCGCAAGAGGCTATGTTTGTTAAAAAGAGCCGGAATTAACTTATGTTGGAATTTGTGTTCATGTCTTCCACTTCCTATTACGATATATCGTCACGAGTGATGCCCTGTGATTTATTTCCTTCCGGTTCTCGTGTATTAGCCTATATGAAGGCATCGTTTGCTTTCTCCTCTTCCCCTTTCTCTAATGAACAGAGCACCACCACCCTATCCCTCCATTAGCACAGAAAACCCCAACTCGATCTCCGCTCGCTCTACTCCCCTTCCTGATGGTATCTTTCTAGAGCTTGACCTGACTATTGCCCTAAGAACCCGGATGGGTGGAGCATGTGCTATGTACGATATACATATAAATTTCCTCCACTGGAAAAAGGGTCTTACCATGAAAGGTAAGTCCAAATTCAGGACACAGGATCGGTTATTCGAGTTCCTACAGTACCGGTAGTGCAGGGGCCCTCAAATACGGTATTCACGGTTTTCTTACCACGAGTAAGAGTATGGTGCGTACAAGTATTTGGCGAGCCCCTGTTTTCGGGTTCAAGCTTCCTTTCCGCTACTTTCCTGACCCCGCTTTTCGCCTTCCTAATCGGGAAGGTGATTAGGGGCCAGAACACCAGACACCC